GCAAATTCTCTGCTGGCTTGAAGATTGATGCATGAAATCTTCTTGGGAATCTACAAACTCATTATTCTTGTCTCCCTTTTTTAGAGGTTTGCTATTCTTTGAAAAAAATACAGTTCTTTGCACTGGCGTCAAGAATAATGTTCAAAGGCATTGGGAAAAATAGGAGAGTTAAAAAAGGAGGAAACAGTGAAAATTTTCCCTTTCAAAATTCTCACGGCTGCCTCAGAACAAGCAGGGCTTAACAAACTTTTCCAACATGGTTCTTAAAAAAAAAGGTTTTCCCTGCAGGGGGAAGGCTCCTTGTTGGAACTATTTAGTTTGATTTGGTTAAGAAAACAAACAAACATTTTTTTTTTCAAACAGCACTGTTTATTACTGTATAATTCCCTTCAGCTGTTCCCTAGAAAATGTGGTTTCTTTTTTTAAAGCATAGTGAAAGACTATTTATTAAAAAGATGGAGATAAGGCAGAAAGTACTAAAAGACCAAAAATGGGGTGTTTTAATTTAATTCCATGGATGATGCGTTTTTTAATTCACTGAGGGGATCTTTTCCCCCAAGCCACTAAAACCATGCAAATGAACTATGAAGAAAAACAAAACTTTTTCCTCCCCACCTTTCTCTCTCTCTCTCTCTCTAATCTTGATGATAAAATCATTTCAGGTTCTACACCATGAAATATTTTGCTGGAGCCTTTTGCTAATAGGGTTGAACACACCAAATCTAAACAGATCGCGGTCCCATTGCTTGGTCCTCGAAGCAAACCCTGAGCTATGTTTCTATTATTTGTCGCTGTTTATGTTTTAGGTCTATTGGTTTTTACTCCAAGCATTATTCTAAACGTTTTAAATGTGGTCAGAGTGGCACCATTTGGTCTGATGCAATCTGTTTCTCTCTCTAGGCCTCTCCTGCAGCTTGAACTCCGAAGTTTTGATCAAATTACATCATTTCTAAATATTTTCTTCCTCTTCTCCCTGGGCTTTTCTCTGAGCAAGGACTAGGAAAGGATCAATAGCAACAAGAACACAAATAATCGTAACAGGGCTAATCAACGCATATCTCCTCCAAAAATCACGGAGGTCCGACAGTGCCAGAAAACCCGCTTTCAGTGTTTTCATATTTTATTGCACCAGCAGGATTTGCATTTTTATGGCTCGCCAAAGTGAGTGGGTGTTTGCACCTAGGGGGTGGGGTGGGGTTTGGCCCGGGGGGGGGGGGGGGGGGGGGGGGGAAATGTCTGCAACCCATATACAGTGAAACACGAAATAAGACAACAAAGAGCTATCAGGATTGTTTCTCCCCGGTGTTTCTATAGGTAGATTACAGCGAGGGGAGTAAATAGACTCGGAGAGTTCACTTTAAAAGCTTGTTCAATGAATGGGTTTGATCACAAGCTTCTTAAACTTTGACGTCAAGCACTTCCAACTGAACTCAAGGGGAAGCGCCTGCCTTTTGCCCTCATCAAACTATGAAATGGGTCACAACGTGGCCAGTGGGGAGAAATGTTTGCAGGGCTACAGCTCCTGGGGGTAACTAGATTTGGTGTGTAACATCCAGGCTTGGCAGCGTTGTGGCAGTGTGGCAGAAAGGTGGATTCCTGTATGTAAGGTAGGTGTTTGAAAAGCTCCAGTCACTGCAAGCACGGGGGACACTTGTATTTCAGGGAACCTTTCAAACCCGGCTGAATAATGGCAACCCGAGCCGTGAACAGAGCCGGCGTGAGTGTGAATCGGCGTCTCTAACTCTCCACTTCTTCGACTTGTGAAACGCAACAGCAAGGTTATTTTGAAAGGCCAGGGCAGGAGGTGATTTGTAGAAATATTTTCATCCCAGACAGTTTAAGTACCTGTCAGGAATAACTGCCCCAGATCAAAATATTAGAAGCCTTAAACGGCGCTTTATATTCCCAGACAGTGTTTAGCTTTCAGAGGGAGCTGCCTCAATGCTGTGGATTATTTCAGATCCTTGAAAAATTCTTCTTAAAACAAGAAGCGGAGCGGGGGTGTTTTGCTGCCCCGGGAAAGGAGACGAGGGCCCTGCTGGCGGGTCAGGGGGTGCTCGCCCCCCGCCAGCACTGTCTAATTCTCCTATTGTAGGCCCAGGCCGCCGCGGGGCGCGGGGCACGCTCGGGAAAGGCGGCCGGGCTCTGCCGGGGCAGGGGGCACGCACTGTCCTGGGCCTGGGGGGCTCCTCCAGGGCTGGCAGGGCGCTGGCACGACCCGATTTCCATCTCAGCTCAGAAAAGGGAGGCACAGGCAGGCTGGCAGCCTGGCCCCGGAGCTTCCCTACCGATTCCACAGCCTTGCAGCCTGCCTCTCCCCACAGCTCTTCCAGTGACTGATTTTCTTCCCCACTGAGCTCTGTGCAAATGACTCCGGCCTCACGCCCCCCGCCCCCAGCCCGCTGCTTTCCAATTTGCACCTGTTTTTGGGTTGTTTCTTCAAAAAAAAAAACAACAACCTATCTCCTAGGCTGCTCGACTTGCTTATTTCCTTGCAGTAAAGGGCGTTGAACTTGAGGGGTCCGCAGCGGACAGCGGGGCTGTTGGGGAATAATGGGAGGAGGTTTGAGTTTCTCGCCCGGGTTAACAGCAAAGCCACGGGGGGAAGGAGCTCGCGTGTGCCGAGATCTTGGCGTGGTGCGTGTGTGCCAGAAACGAGCAGCACAGGCAGAGCTGCCTCTTCCATACACGGGATCCCAGCTAGATCCATTGTATCAGGGCAGGCTGAAAATGAAGCTCGAGGAAGGGCAGCTTCACGCCTCCGCGGAGGTTACAGATTCCCCTCCCTTGTGGGGTGAAACAGAGGTAGAGCCCAAAGCAATGATTTAACGTGGGTGCCAGCCAAGGGGAAACCCCGCTGTCCCTGCGGGGAAGCCGGTCCTGGGAGGGTCCTGAACTCCCTGATCACGTCCTCTGCTTCTCCCTATACCCGCGGGTGCCTTTCCCCGGCTGCCCTGCTGGGCTGCAGCTCCAGGCGGAGCTCTCCCCCTGGCTGGGGCGCCCGGCTCTGAGGTCTCCTGCTTTATTTTTAAAACGTGCCGCGGTGACAGAGCCTCGGCAGACTGCGCGGACAGGTCCTAGGAGAGATCACAGCCCTGACTGGCCCGATCCCTCTGTCTGGAGCCCGTCAGGGATGCACAGGGAAGCTCCAGCCCGGTTTACAGAGCTGCCTCCAAGTTCGCATCGTGAATTGTTGGCTGGAACTGTCCGGGAGGTGGAGGGGAAGCGAAGGACAGGATATGTACGCACAAGTATAACGTGTGTACACGTGCACACATGTGTGTGAGTGCATGGGCAAGGCTTGCCTACGCCCCCCCGGCCAAAGTATATTTGGTTTGCTGCTCCCGTGCCACCTCCCCCCTCCCAGAATTGGGCTCGGTTGCAAACTAAATCCTCCCCCTGCCTGGCACAAGGGCAGCTTGCACGGGAACAAACGTAGGGGAGGATCCGGCTCCAGGACAGTGGCTGCACCAGGCTGGGGGAGGCAGAGCCCTGCTTCCAGGCGAGGCGGCGGAGTGCGGGGGAGCTGCGGGCAGCGAGTCCTGCCGCCTGCCGAGTCCCGTGGCAATGCGGATCTCCCAATAACCTGATAACTTTTATTGCTTCCTGCGGAAACAGCCAGACCTGACAGGTCTAAGGGAGAAATTCCCCAGGGCTGCCTTCTGGATCAAGATTACCGCATGAGATCGCCCTGGCTTTATTGTCCTTTCCATTCACGTGCGGGGGAGTGGAGGTGGTGAGATTGGAAAATCCATTTCCCCTTCAGTCCCCGTCCCGTCCCCGTCCCCCGCCCCCCCCACCGTTTTCTCTCCTGGTTAGCTGAAGCTGGCGAGCTCTCCCTTGACTGCCCAGCTTGCAGTGCAAAATGGCTTGGGAGCCGTTTCACCTTCTGGGCTGCGAGGCGACAACTTCAGTCTCTGCCCCCCAGGATCTATTGCTTGGGAAGAGAGTGGGAGAGCAGCCCTCGGGACCCCGAGCAATCAGTAGACACAGACTCGAGAAGCCCTGATCCCCTTAAGTATGGGCAGAGCCCACTGAATGTGTAATTCAAGGCTGAGGATGATACAGGCAGGGTGTAATGTGCGCAGGATGGTGTACACACTAAGTGACCCCTGACAATAGAAGCAGAGAGGTTTAGCAATCCAAGCAGAAGGCGTTTTAGGGCTGATAGAAAACCGAGAGGTGCGCACACGTGCATGTGGGCACACGCCAGCACTGTGCCCGCCTGTGCACAGGCTACTGCTGCCTGTGCCTGTCTGCACGCCCTGTGCAGCCAACTGCGTCCCCACGCTGCACACTCTGGTCTCGGCCCCTGCGGGCTGGAGGCTGGGATTGCCCTACCTCGTGTGCAGGCTCCGTGCCCACGGTATTGGACGTGTTTAGCCCTGCTCCTCGGTACAGCTCCCTGCTGGGTTTCGCCCAGCTGTCTCTGTCCTATAAAGCCCTTGGCTAGGGGGACTGTCTGGATGTGTTGCCTGAAAAACTGCAGTCTGGCTGACCTGCTTCATGGAGAGGGGCGAGCAGTGATGGCTCCCCCACCCCATTCACACGCACACACACACACACACACACTTCGCAGCAACAAGCTGCAGTCTCCTCAAACCGGCCGCTTTCCGTCCATCGCCATCCAAACTATTTTCCCCTTCCCTTTGACCAAACAAAGACGATTTTTGTGTTTGTGTTGGCCGGATGATCTCTGCTCGCAGGAAACTTTCTGCCCGGAGAAAGCGGGGCTGGGGCGTGCTGGGTGGATGCAGGGAGATCTGAAGAATGTAGCGCTGTCTCTGCTGCAGCAGGGCCACGAGCTTGTCATATGGGTTTTGAAGGGAAAGCTCCCCACATTGATCTCTGCTTTAAACACACACTCCCTCCCCCCCCCCCTCACGCCCCCTAAATGTCGATGCAGTCCCAGGCTGGGCGGCGGTGGCTTGTGCAGAGCGAGATGAGGATGGGACATGTGAATCAGGCAATCACAGCCCCAAATTTAAAGCAATGGCTGATTTATTTAGATTTGATTTGATTTGACTTGATTTTCCAACACGCGCTCTGGAACGTGGCGCCTCCTCCTAGGGGATCGGCCCTGGATCACAGCAAGATCGCGTGTAGCTGAGGATACGTCTAGCTTCACAAATCACCATCATTACTACTACAATTATCATCACCGTCACCATTATTACTATTACTGTTATTACGACTATATTATTATTATTATTATTATTGGTGGTGGCGGCGGCGGCTGTGGTGGTGTTACTATTATTCTCCTATCGGATGCTGCTGTTCGAGTCACAAAGGCAGAGGCAGGATAAAGCCAACTTCTCACCCGCAAGGCTTTCTAGGGAGCATCACACCATGGGACTTCCCCTCCTCCCCCCTCCAAAAAAAGTACCCCCCCAAAAAAACCCCAAAGAAGTGACCTGAGACAGAGATGGGAAACCCCCTCCCGCACCCACCTCTGGGGCAGCAGCCCTCTCGCTCGAGCGGCTTGCAGGTTTAGAAGGGAGAAGGGTCAAATGGGACAAAAGAGCCCAGGTTTCTTCTCTTGGCGTCAGAAATCTGCAGTGCTGCTCTCGGGGAAAGATAGCCGGGTTAGGATTACCAGGACCCAGGCTATCAAATGCAGAAGGAGCCCAGCGCCTCCGAGTTTGCAAGGAAGTTAAGCAGCAGGCACCACGATCAGCCAAATAAGAGCGGAACCCAGGAATGTGGAAGGGGGAAAAAAGATGAGAAGTGAAGAAAGGGACGTGGTGAGTAAGAAGAAACACGCTGCCCTTTGCTTTTAGCCCTGCGAGTGTTGTTGAGACGAGCCTTACTTTCTAGGCTGGGCTCATTTCAGCTAATAAATACAGCGACTGGCAATGAACAAGCATTCGGCTTCGGTTTAAGTGATGAACGGCTCCAGATTCATTCACTGTGAACAACTTGCTGAGAGCAGTGACCTTTTCTGGACATATATATTTAAAAATACAGATTATTTTCTGCAAAGCGTCAAAATCCCCCTGTATTTCCAAAAAGAGCGTAAAAAATCGCTCAGAATAATCGTATGTAAGAAAAGGGATGAAGCAAATGGAATGAGTAACTAAAGGTGGAGATGACGTGCAGAGCTGCTGGAAAGGCGAAGGTTTCTCAAGGGCGTTCAAATTCCTTCGAAAAAGCCGCCGAAATTTGCAATATACATATATATGCATATTGCCTTAAAATATGGACGCGTTTTAAATGATTGCACGAATGTTGGAAAATAGAAGCCCGTCTCTCTGCGTGCACACTCACACGCGTGCAGGAGCGGGTGAATACACGTCCATAGGTGTGCAGGCGTATATAACGCGTGTACAATCGGCACCCCGAGAAAGTGCGATCGCCCTAGCTCTCTCTAATCCGGCAAGGCGCTGATGGGCGGCTTGATATTTGTCTGCATGGCAGCAGCGTGGTTGTTAAATGAAAGGCTTTTTTTTTTATGAGTGTTTTACACGGGGGTGTGTGTGAAATGTTGGGGTTTTATGACATCACAAGGTTCAAGTACCCAATCAGCTCGCAGATTTGAGAAATTATTTGGTGGGGTGTTTCCTATAATATACTGTACTCAGGAGCCTGGCTTTAAGAAAGAAGCCGAGCAAAAGGTGGGAGCTACATGGATTCGCGTGGGGTTTTTTCCCCTCTCTCCTTGCAAGATCCCCTGTGCTACCGTTTTTAGCCCCCCCGCCCCCCTTCCCTCCCACCCCACCCCGGTAGCTTTGTTTGCTTAGCATCTCCCTGGCACTGCAGAGCTCAGGGGCTGCCTGGCGATTCCTTTCCCGAGAGAGTCTGTTTGAAGTGGGCGGTGGGGGAAGCCCGGAGGATGCAAGATGTTTGACTTCTTGATTTCTCTCCCTCTCTCTCTCGGCTCCGGCTCGGGGAGGGGGGAGCCAAGGAGGCGAGCCCCAGCGCCTGAGGAGCACGGGGGTGTTGGGAAGAGGCTGCAGATCCTTGACGGGGGCATTTGAAAGGGAAATCGCCTGCTCGGAGCTGCGGCCGCCGGGCTGTGCGCGATCGAGGAGCGGGACACGCTATGCCCCCGGCCCCTTTGAGAGAGACCAAGGCAGTGCTCGTGGCAAAATGTTCCTGACCTGCGACGGGACCTTGGGGATTGTTCCAGCCACCATGGATTACAATGGGGACGCCAGGCCCGGGGGTTTCCACGCCGGCTACCAAGAGATCGAAGGGATCAACCTGGGATACTTACAGATCAACGGCACCCAGATGTTTGCTCTGGCTCAGGTCCTCAGCGACCTGTTTAAGGATATCCCCCGCACCACCATCAGCAAGAAGATGGAGACGCTCAAGATCAAGAGCCGGCGCTGCGACCTCCAGGAGCTCCGCACCCTCAAAGCCATCCACTCCGTGCCCACCCGCGCCGTGAAATGCTCGCTCATCTCCAAGGCGGACCTGGAGGCTCTGTGCACCTCCTGCAAGAGCCTCGGCCCCGGCCGGAGGAAGAGGAAGAGGAAGAGCAAGCGGAGGGAGCAGCTGCTGCTGCCGGGCCCGGGGGAGCTCTTCCACTCC